TAATTCTACAACCGACACAATGAGGAAAATAAGTAAAATTCTATAATTAATTGATATATATATATAATAATCTGATTTTAGCAAGTAATACAAGGGAAAATGCTTTTCCAACTACCATTTTTTCTAAATTTTAATTAATTAAATTAAATTGGTGTTGTCAGTTTCTATCACACTCACCTAATTATACGATCACATAAATTCATCTATCTGTTATTGAGTTTTAATTAGTTTATTTTGAATTCATGTCATTGTTGTGTCACGTGGGGGTCCAGTTAGAGTCCAGTAAAATTAATCAAGTGACTAATTAGATCATAATATGAATTAAGAAAATGATTGGTCAGTAATTGATTTCCTTTTAGACTGAGGTAAAAATTAAAATTGCTTAATCATTGACTCCATTAATCATATCATCTCTTACTTTGTTTAGACCCACATTTTTTTGAATACTAATTTTGAGTAATTTCAACTAATTAAGCAAGTTTAAATTAACAGGTTCATAGTGTCAATTGTCAGATCACAAATTGATATGTTCATTATTTGTTCACAAATTGATTTTCCCCAAATGTTAATTAAACTGGGAATTTTGATTTGTAAATGTAAAATTACTTAAAACCCCCCAATGTTGTATTCTATCTTAATGCAACCCCGATTCCTAAACCGGTTCCTAACAAGATACCATATTCCCAGTTCTGGTTCCTGGTTCCAACAGGATCGAAATCGGAATCGGGATCAGGATCAGTATTGAAATTGGAATCGGAATTAGAATCAGAATCAGAACCAGGGAGTCTCGGTTCCTATTTTAAAGAACCGAAACCTACCTTTTGGGGCCGGTTCTGGTTCCTACCTAGAATCGGAACCTCAAGTACCTGTCGGTTCCGAGTAGAACCTATTTTCTTGCTCACCCCTAGTTAAAACTAACGTTTAAATTTTAATGATGGGTGGAAATTTATTTTTTTGAAACATATCGGGTGGGAAAATTTACTTGCGGCTAACCTTGGGTGGGAAATTGTCATTCTCCTGCAATTTATATGGAATGGTTAAATTTTGAGCAAACAACTTTTTCCCACCCAAATAATGACTTAATGACACTTTTCCACCCACAGACTTTTAAAGTACCATTTTACCATGAAAACTTATATTTTTTTTTTTTTCCGATTTCGGCATCGTTGTGACCCCACACCACCACTATTCTCTTCCTCGGTCATCACTTATCAAAACACCTCAAACCTTACTTCTGCCTATCCCGCCAATCATCGGCAATCGAACGATTGGGGTTTACGCAATTGCTCCTCCCAAGTCAAATTTTGATCAATTATAACTGTCAAAATTCAACCTTCTACCACCAAAAGAGTCATTGACTTCCCCTCTTCAAAAGCTCCAACAGTTTGGACCGAGTTTGGTCTCTGTTCGCCATCGGTTTTGGTAGTAAAATGATATTTTAAAAGTATATGGGTGGGAACATCATTGAGCCATTATTTGGGTGGGAAAAGGTGATTAACTCTTAAATTTTGGGTTGAGAGTTTTGATGACTGGACTGACCTATCACTTACTCTCAGGGCAATCACTTACTCTCAGGGCATTACCTAACATATGTTTAGTAGTTTGGTTGGATCTATTCCTCCGTTAATTTATGGGATTGACATATTTGTATACTCGGTAAGTAGTTTTATCATTGAGTAATATTAGTTTTACAAAGAGTCATGTAAAGAATCAAATCTAGCCCTTGAAATTCATGATTGTCTATTTCATGATTGCCTTTTTCTCTCTCTCTTTTTCTCTCCTTTCAAGGGCTGGATTTGACTCTTTGTATGACTCTTTGTATACCTCTTTGTAAGGCTAGTATTACTCTTTTATCATTTTTAACTGAGCTGACACCCTATGACTTGAAGCGGCCCGAGGGAAGAAAGAGAGGGAGAGCCGCTGGCCGGGAAGAGAATTTTGATGCGGTGTCTAGACCACAGCGAAATTCCTGGGTACGTATAATGTAGTAATTGTAGCACATTTATATATTAATTCATTATCTATTCTCTAGTTTAATCAATTTTTGTGTGACGCAGGTGACACTCTCAGGATTGCTAAACTTCGTTGATGGTTTGTGGTCTAGTTGCGGCGATCAGAGAATCATTATATTCACTACCAACAACAAGGAGAGGCTTGACCGTGCTTTGCTGCGTCCAGGACGCATGGATAAGCATATTCATATGTCTTACTGTACCTTTGCTGGATTTAAGATCTTAGCCTCTAATTACTTGGGCATTTCTGATGAACACCATCTCTACCCAGAGATTAAATACTTCATTAAGAGGGTAAAGATAACTCCTGCACAAGTTGCAGAAGAGTTGATGAAGGATGAAGATCCCGACGTGGCACTTGAAGGATTTCTGAAAACCCTCTCCAAAAAGCAAAGTAAGGAGGTCGTCTATGAAAGTGACGAAGAAGCTGAAGAGGATGAAGAAGAGGAAGAAGTTTCAACGTCCAATGAATCAAAAAGACAGAAAACCGATGCGGTGAGGAGAGCAGTAGAAGGCAACGGAAAGGCAAGAACAAAGTAGTCAGCTCTTAAAGACAAGCCATGACTAATTGGCTCTAATCAAACTACATGTTGAGCTAATTAAACTAGTTAGTATTTAGTATGGTAGTGTTTTTAAGTTAAATAAAAGTCCATGTAGTTTTCTGCTCGTTGACTAAGTGTGCTAGTCTGTTTATTTCATTGAAATTCTGGTGTGAATTTAGGGGTGCATACGAGCCAAGTATTGGCTGGCTCGAGCTCGGCTCGGATGCATTAGTAGGAGGCTTGAGCTCGATGAGCTCTGGCACACAAGCTCGAGCTCGGCTCAGCTTGACTCGATTATATATTAAACGAATCGAGCCGAGCTGAAATCGAGCCAAACAATAAAAAAAAACATGTTGCACAGTATCGATATTCAATTGAATTCTGCCTTTCTGCTCAATTTAATTTGGCACGTTATTAAACTAATCCAGCTCATATGAACACCCGAAATACACTACCATCCATCAGCAATGAATCATCGCCTTTTACCGTAAAGCACATAACTTCTATATTAATGCTCATCAGTATTTGCCGGAGTTATAAGGAACACTAAGATTCATGGATCTCCACTTTCCTCTGAACAAAATATGACTTGAACACTTCAGACCAGAAAATTTCACCTAAAATAATGGGTAGTAATTTATAGCAAAATTCAGTTGATTTTAAATTTCCGATCAATACTTCAGAATAAGGAATCTTTCTTGCAAATTTAATTCACTACCAAGTGTTCCCAGTGTCACATGAAAACCAACATAAAGAGATATTACTAATAGAAGCTATAGACATAACCCAAAACATTCACTTTGAGAGTCTCAAAAGCATGTTTCAATCATCTTCTCTTTCTGGGGGCAGGCCGCAAGGCAAGAGCATTTTCTGCACATACGGATAGAAAGAATGAACATTAGGGAATTTCCATCAGTAAGTTAAGATTTAAGAAGAGTTACATACATACCAAATGAAACATTTATTAAGGGTTGTGAACTTTAACTTACAAAGCTTGAAAAGTTGACACAAAATATATAACCATGCCATCCAACAAATCAAGCTTGCTTAATGCTTCAATTGCTATATAGCCAAGTTCCAAACTGCTATTTTTCAAAATGTATTAGCATACTTTAGATGACATCATTCCAATGAATATTTAAAATTCTCTCTGTTCTCCACTACTCCTTTATTTACTCACAACAATGATAATTTTTCTTATCTCTTCTCTCTTCTTAAACTTTTTATTATTCCTTTTAATAAGAAAAAATCAGTTTCACTTTGTACTCCCAAACAAGCAAGAATTACTTAGATAGATAAAAAGCAAATTAAGATTTCAATGGTGGGCAACTAGTGCATACTTGCACACATAGAAAAAACATGGAGACAATACAGATGAATTATAAACATCATGCTTATAGCACAACGCCATGTGCAATGTCACGTGTATACATAATAGGTGAAGTCCCTCATCTTTTAGTGAGCAATACTGTCACATGATTGCGCAGTTTAATCATTTACAAGCTATTCCCACCAGTACTAAATGATTGCATTATGATGAATACTTCCCTTGCAAATCCCTTTCTCACACACACAATCCAGAACACAATCTACACCACTCTTAGCAAACACAAGAATGCACCTCCAAACTATTCGATATAATAGTAAACAAAGCAACAGATTCACAAATAGCAAAATGGTATGAAATGAAGATAAGTAATCACTGTAATATTGCTGAATAAACGGAAACAAATGGAACAAAATGAAAAGATAGACTGGTCACTAACCTGTCACGATTCCACCAAAACTTCATAGGATCGGAAGTTGAAACTCCTCATTTGTCTTCTCTTTCTAAACAACAAAGAAGAAAACCAATTGTTTTAGTTTGAATAATGTTAATAAACGACCAAATAATGCCATAATTTTAATAAATTGGACTATGGAAGTATGAAACTTACTTTGTAACTTTTCTTGACTCCATACAAATTGCGACACCAATCACCACCACAGAGTAGCACTTGCACAGTATGGGAGACAACGATGATCGATAAGTATCAATAACTCGACTCCCAGCACTAAAAGTTGCCTCCAAAGCAACCGTGGTGATTGGAATGACAAGTATTTCACGAGCCATCGTAGATAGAATGCGATAGTTCATTTGATTTACCTTCCACCACTGTAACGCATCAAATGAGGTATCATCCTCGTCCCATAACAAACATTTCTCCTCTAGATATTGATCTAACTCAGATTTCTCATGTTGCACCGTTTGAGTTGTCCTACCAAACTGACAGAATTGTGAACTAGTACGTTTCGGGCGTTGTACATTGTCCCACTAAACTTTACTGATTTCTATAGGTGGTGCACTGTTGGAAGATTGACTTTCCATTGCATATTCCTCATAAATCTCATACAAAGCAGCTTGCACTTCATCAATTTTGTCTTGTGCTTCTTCATCAGGATACATTTATGGGTAGGCAAATTGCAACAGCCTCATTTTCATCCTCGGATCCAATACAGTTGCAATTGCCATTACAAAATTGCATTCGCCCCAATACTTGTCAAACTTTTCTTTCATCTTTCCCATCATTAACCAAATGAAATCATCATCATCAGAACACTTTTCATCTAGCAACTCTTTTATGTCAACAATTTCTTGCAAAAATAAGTTAGAAGTGGGGTACTCACTCCCCGATATGACATTAGTTACCGAGTTGAAAGCTTCCAAAATCTCACACACTTTCTCAAGTTTTTCCCAATCTTTATCTATTGGGGCACAAGTAAAGTTATTATCCAATTGAACTAACATTGGAAACACATCTCTGTACTGAATTGCAAGTACCAACATCTCATAAGTAGAATTCCACCTCGTTTTGCAATCAAGTATGGGTTTCTGCTTGGGCAACATCTGAACAATCTCTAAAAACATAATTACTCTGATCTCTGGTTGCTTGACATACAAAATACAGTCACATATGTCTTGAATAATGGGCTTAATTTGGGAAAGCTCATCCTGAACCATGAGATTCAATATGTGTGCCGCGCACCGCACATGAAACAACCTCCCACCACACATTAGCTTCTTGTTTCTTCCTAAATTCTCCTTCAAAATCTTGATTGCCGTGTCATTACTTGAAGCATTGTCAACCGAGATACTGAATACCTTGTTCTCAATTCCCCATTCAATTAGACACTTATAAATAGCAGCAGCAATCTCAACACCAGGTCGAGGAGCCGGTATATGAATAAAATTGAGCACACGCTTATGCAACTTCTAATCATTATCAATAAAATTTCCGGTGAGAACCATGTACTCAAGCTTCTGATTAGAAGAATTCCATAGATCAGTTGTCAAACTAATCTTGTTAATACTCTTAAGCAAATTAACCAACTTCTTCTTTTGTATCTCATACACAATCACACAGTCTTGTTTCAAAGCAGTACGCGTTATCTTTTCCCATAGTGGCATACCACATCTTTGCATCATGTTAAAACCCTCATTCTCCACAACTTTAAATGGATGCTCGTGCATGAGCACCCAATTAGCAGCTAGTTCCCGCATCTTGTTCATATCAAACTTGGCATCTGATAATGCAAGTGCATATTGCATTTAGATTTCATCCGTTACACTGGCTAGCCGAAAAAACAATTGTGTTTGCCTCTGACTACTTATTCGCTTCAAACATAATTTCAAATATCTTGCAAACTAAGTTGTGCTCTTGGTCTCCGTTATTGCGAGCTTTGCCTTACAATGAATACACTCTCCCTTTGTAGAAACATCCGGTAGAACTACCTCTTTAAATTCATTCCAAACTGCTGATGTCTTTAGTCTCTTTTTCCTCTGAAAATGATTAACTTTCTCCTCGTCAGTACGAGGGTAGAAGCATCAACACCATCACCGGGTGTGCCTATGGGTGTGGCATCGTCATCAGACCAGGTTTCAAAGATATCTTCTCATGGTTGCATTCGTGAAGTGGAAGGGTGTGTTCGATTGTGGGTGAATGATAGATGCTCCATTGGAATAAATAAATCCCTCTGCAAAAAGAATATAAAGTCAGAAACATTAAGCCAAAAACCATTCTAGCAAACTACAAAACTACAGATGACTGAAACCCAACGAAGCCAATTAAAATCATATTTCACTCCCCACAAACAAAAACGAAATCTGAACTGCACTGCACTGAACTGTCACGCTAAGAACTAATTTAGTAACAAGGCTACTAACAGAGCTAAGAACTTGGTAAGCTTGATTAATACTTACGCATATAAAACCCCAAAATATATATCAATCACTTCTCTTCTTCCTAAACTCAAAATTCTCTCTACTTCTGCAACTCTCTCATTTCTCCCTTACATCCCGTAAGTGATTTTTTTAATGAGTTTTAAAATACAAATAAAAATTTGATCATATGGAAATGGATTGATAAAAAATTAGTTTAATGATTTACTCTTATATAATAAAAAATAACGAAGGTGTTATTTATTTTATTATATTATATTAGCATGTAGATATTGTAATAGATGTGGTTCAAATGGACTAATATTTGAAATAATGTTTGCTATTGCATTTGATCAAAAGGCTAAATAGCACCTATAAAGCAACAAGGATATAATATAGAGCCACCAGCGCTTTGTAATTCCTATTCAATCAAAGGGAAAACAAGACTATAAAGACAAGAAAAAAGCGGAAAATGATTAACATTTGAAGGAGTACCTTGATAATTCTTCGAAGTGGATTTTTATTAGCCGTTGAATTTAAGAAATAAAGAAACAGAGAAGTGAGGGACTAGAGCTGAATCCAATACTCGGATATGAAAACTTAATCATCAAGTGTTGATATTATTTGGCTTTGCTTCGTGTTATTTGAAACTACTTTATTACCAATTTCGCGCTTCTCAATCCTCACCCTTTATATGTCTAAAACTGTTGATTTAATTTAAATTGATTAGATATAACTTTGTCAAATCCTATTCCTCCAAAATTGAAAATGTATCACTTGTTAATATTAAAGAGGCTCCAAAACAGCGAAGACTTACGAGCTTACATTCAGTATAAGACAACAGATGATGGAAAGCACAAACACAGAATGATTTTATCATTTGTTTGTGGGCTACCAAATGCAGATCTTTACTGCCAAACCAATACTCATTATAAACTATACAGGCTGGCTCATAATTTATAACAACAAAAATAATTCAAGAAAGAAACTAAGAAAGCTTAAAAAGCAAGACCAGTTGTTATGCCTGAAAAAGTAGGGCTGACGCCAAACCTTGTCAGCGTGGGTGGTCAGAGCTTAGGTAGGTTCTGCAGCCATTTAGACGCAGCCACGTCGCATGCTGACGTGAGCGGCATGCTCCTGCCAGTGTAGTGGGTATGCGCCAGATTGGCGAAAGGCTGGAAAAGGTCCACGTATCCAACCCCTGCACAAGTCGAGGAAATCACTCGAGCAGGTGAGCAACGGGACATAAAGAAGGATTTGCATGGGAATCTGACCCACTCACAGATTTAGTAATAATTATCTCAATTTATCCCACTATAAATAGAGGGCTCCTCTCCCGTTTATGGGATTAGCTAATTTTTCTCTAAAATAGCATACATATTCTCTCTCTCTCTCTCTCTCTCTCTCTCTCTCTCTCTCTCTCTCTCTCTCATGTATTCACTTGTATTCTCTAAGCTATAAGTCAGCTCGCTGAACTTGACCTAATCTCATATATTAATACAATACCAGTGGACGTAGGATTCGCTTATTTAAGTATCTGAACCACTTTAAACATTGTTCTTCATCTCTTATTCAACCCAATATCCCCATATACACGTGTGTCTTCTGAGTCAGCTCAGCATTTCCCACGTGCGATTAGTTGGTGACAAAATCAAGCATCAATAGTTTAGCGTTAGAAGCGTTAGAAAGAGGGCCTGATTTAGTACTTATTCTTCATCAGGAGAATCTCTGACTAATCGGTCCTACTACAGCAAATGGCTCGCCGATTTGAATCTGAGCGAACCAATCGTGGTGACGAAGAGATCCCCTAGGTACAAGAGGACACTTCTCCTGAAGTGCCCTCAGTCTCGCAAAATCTCATGGGGGATATCCCTTCAAGCTCACGGCTTGATCCAACCGTCATGAGCTACTTGGAGAGGTTCAACAATACTCTCCAACTGGCCTAGCCTTTGGCTGACTGGTTGGATCTAGTCGTGCCACCCGAATCAAATGAGGCGGTGCCACCGCCAAAAACACCTGCAGGTCGCATGAAAGCACGGAAAAGGGCAATAGCCCATGTCGCGAGCACAACAGCACGTCAAAGAAAGGGAAAACAAGTGGCGAACAGCGAGCCTAGAGGCTCCGAGGGGCCAACGATCACCGACCGCGTCCCGGGTAGAATACCCGTGGTGCAAAGACTCAGTGACATGTCGCAGCCCGAGCTGTCCCACGCCACGTCATACGAGCACTCTCACAAAAGTGCAAGGCGGGGAGATTCCTATTATCGCTAGAATGATGACTTCAATCGTCGTCGCGCAGGAAGTTTGCACCATCCGCGGGTAGGTTCGCACCACCGCGGAGGTCAGGAAGGTTCCCTGGACCATTCAGTGCCATCACACAACTTTAGCCAGCGTGTGTCAAAATCGATTGGGACTGCCGGCCGAGGTAAGGAGGAATTTGACCTATGGTATTTCCTTAATCGCAACCATGAGGGTCGAACCCGCTTTGTAGAGAGCGATCCCCAGATGGCTCCGCTGCCTCAGATTAAGGAACTACAGCGAGCCCTAGATCAGTTAAAGGCTCAGTGAAATGAGCAAGGGCAAGTCACAGAGGCGTCTCCCTTTTCTCTGGTTGTGTTAGACGCCCTTCTCTCATCCAGATTCAGAATGCCCGATATGCAAGCATTCGATGGAATTTCTGATCCGTAGGATCATCTATACGAATCCAACGGCCTGATGGAATTCTACCAAGTCTCTGACTTGGCAAAATGTCGTTGCTTGGCAGTAACTCTTACTTCTCATGCAAGCGATGGCTCAGGTCGCTCCTAGCGGGATCAGCCAGCTCGTGGCCTCAGATGAGCTCGATATTTCTGAGACACTTCCAGGCAAACAGGAAATTCTCAATGCCTCTAAGCTATCTCAGCAACATAAGGCAAGAGAGGGATGAGCCCCTCCAATCTTATATTGACAAGTTTCATCAGGAGATTCACAAAGTAGCTTACACTCCCGAAGAGTCCGTTCAGACCCTCATCATCGCGGGGGTTTGCTCGCAGACAGACCTGTGGAAAGGGTTACAATCTGAGGACGATGTTTCTCTCACCTGCTTCTACAGCCTTACAGAAAAATACCTCCATATTGAAAACTCTGTGGCGGCGCTCAACCGCCACGACCCCGGTCCTTCGGGCAATGCGCCTGGTCGGGGGGAGAATAGGAGGTTGATCGCAGATGGGCTAATGACGACCAGCGAAAAGGAAAGAAGTAGCGGTATGAGCCCAAGAAATCTTATGCCCCAATTCCTCGTCACGATCGCAACAAGAGTCAGTACACCCCCCTGAATGCATCAGTCTCTGCTATTCTTAATAAGTCAGAAAATGCCGACCTGCTCGGGGAGCCTAAGCCCATGAAAAATCCCCCTTTAGCCAGAAACAGTAAAAAATATTGTTGCTATCATCAGGATAATGGGCATCACAACGATGAGTATTGGGCCCTTAAGCAAGCAATTGAAGACCTCATTAAGCAGGGGCGCTTCAAAGAGTATGTTGATGACTCTACTCCTGTGCCAGAGAAAAATCAAAAGGAACCGGGTAAGAAGCATCGTGGTCGCAAGGGTATCTATAAGGTAGGGATAATCTTTCGGGGACCACCCCTCGAAGGGAATTTGCGAGGTGCCCAAGAGAGGTATGCTCGCATAGCCCATCACGACCCCATCCGTGTAATGAACACGACACCGCGACCATCAAAGGTTCATAGGGAGGAGGAAATCACCTTTTCTGAAAAAGATGCAGTCCGATTGCATCATCCGCATGACGATACTCTCTTCATCACGCCCCAGATAGGGCGTTGCGATGTCCACATAATGTTAATGGATAATGGAAGCGCTGTGAACATCTTGTTCCTGCGAGCTTTCAAAAAAATGAAACTGGATGAGGCCGACCTAAAGCCTGCCTCCATCCCTCTAAATGGTTTCACCGGGGATCACCGGATCCCTAAGGGGACGATCTCACTCCCGGTCACATTAGGTGACTCCGACGAGATGACCAAGATCACTGAGTTCTTAGTAGTAGAATGCTCGTCCGCTTTCAATGGCATCCTTGGGCGACCTCTACTGAGAAATTTCAAAGCAGTCACTTCGATTTACCATCTCAAGATGAAATTCTCCACCCCGACAAGGATAGGGGAAGTAAGCGAATCTCAACGCACGTCTCGCGACTGCTATGTAAGGGCAGTGCAGATGGCGTGCAGGGAAAAAGGCACTCCGCATGGCATTCCAGAACAGGCAATGGTGATCAGCCAGATCGAACCACAGCCTGGCCCAGCCGAGGATAATATGGATCCTCGTATCCAAGAATGCCTTTCCAGTAGGCCGGTTGAGGATTTATTTGAAGTGTCAGTCGATCAGAACGAGCCGAGTTG